AGATGTGACACCGCGTAGTCTGGTTAAGACTTTAATGATGTTTCGAAGTAATGTACCGTCTTCATATTCGGAGCCCAAGAGTAGACGACGCACGGCGGTGTGCTTGCTTCTTGCTTTTCTGAACCTGAAGATGGAGGCCAAATTTGACTCTGCAATGTCAGCAAACGTCTACCAGATCACACGGCGTCACATCCCAGAAGACAGTAGTATTCCTAATGACCGCCGTGATAACTTGAACCCCAAAATACTTACCGTTACGCTACGGCAGCCTTGAGTGGTGGGATTAGCAAGCAGTTAATTGAAAAGAAGTGGCCTTGGCCTAATTTACTGCCTGGAAGGACTGACGAAAACTACGAGCTACCTCAGGGAGATAATTCTCTATCCCGGCCGAGATTCGAACTGAGTGCATATCAAATGCAAATCTAGGGTATTACCGCTAAGCTAGCCTGCTCGATGCCACCCTCTTACGGAATGCTCCATTATTACTATTATTATTATTACTAAGTGATCAACTAATCTTACAAAGCAGAGTCTAACTTCACAAGCTACCAGTTGCTCAGTTATTCAAGAAATTCCAGGCCTCTTACAAAACCCGAAGGTTCATTACCATGTCCACAAAAGCCCGCCTTGTGCCTCTGTTACGACAGTAAGGAGCCTCCGCGGAGGCAGTCCTATCAGCATGCACGGCACGCCACGGCAGATCATTCCATTCAGCACCGTCGTGCGATCCTTACTGCGAATCTAATCTCGTGATGTGTAGGCCAAATGAGTTCTGCTGTGTCCTTGACTGCGCGCGCATACGACTGCACAAACAGATTCCATCTCCACAACGAGACTTCAAGGCATTCTGTGTGGCCTGAATGGGTGATACAGGGCGATTAAAAGTATGCGCAACTTGGCGCGTTCGAAGTGTCCTCGTATCACTATTTCATTCGAAACGTCCACGAAGTTCATGAAAACAAAAGACAGGCAAGTAGCAGGACGGCAGTTCAGAACCCGACCTCCGTTTCCCATCGTAAGCTCTGACCACTCTACAAAAACCGGAAGTATACTTTGTGTAGACAAAATGGCGGAAGGAAAATCGCTCGTTCATTCATCTGTGGCTCACCAGCCATTCTTGGGCTTTGCGGCTTTTTCAGTTTCTTAATATTTTACAGTCTGTAGGATTCCTTGGACGGGGTATCAGCCCGTCACAAGGATTCTACCAGCATACAGGATAGCAAAAGAGAATAAACGCACGCAGTCATCCATACCTTGAGTGGCATTCGAACCCACGATCCCAGTGTTTGAGCGGGCGAAGGCAATTCATGCCTTAGACTGTGCGGTCGCTGTGGGAAGAAAAATCGTACGTATTATAAATTACCTTTGCTCGTTCTGATGGTGTCTCTGTTAGGTTCACTCCTGCTTACAACTCTCTCTACCACGTATTGGACGGTAGCAGAATACAGACCCTGGTCAGAACTTCTTTCGTAGTCCGCTGATCGAGACTGGCTCCGTCTACCGGGTCCCGTTACATATGATCCTTCCTCCCTTTACACCTGCTGACGGAAGCATATTCAGTTTCCGATAATTTAAACACACCTAAGACGATGGACAATGTGCAACATAATAATTTTATAATGTGCAAGAAAGTCTGGGAATATTACTTCTCACAGTCAGAGTTACTTTACGACTGGTGTTTTACCGCCAATCAGTTCGTCTTGGAGTCAAGCCCCTTGAGACTCACGACCAGAGATTATTACTTTTTTCTTCAACTGAGCCCTTGCCGTAAAAGTCTTTATGTAACACTCTCTCTGACGAGAAGATGGGTTTGTCTGTTAAGAGTATGATTGGCCTTTCGTCAAGTGTATGCATCGCACATATAGCATACGTGTATTATTGACAATTCTTCCTTTTGCAATACACGCAAATCCTCTGTGAGTACAGGCTTTGCAAAGCAGATCATGCCTATTTTTACGTATCTTATGCTACAACGGCAGCTTAGTCACTTGAACAGTTGTAAGCTTGACCACCGCCATAATACTTTTCTTTCACTACGTACTGAGTATTTGATAAGACACGGACCGCATACAAAACATCGCGTCAAATAGTTCGTCTATTATTGTGAGTGTTATTTGTACAGCGGGAACGTATTTACAGAGTCGTTGCCTAGGGGATACACAGAGAGCAAGGTGATCCCATAAGTCTCCTTTTATTTTCAAGAAACATGGGAAGTAGACTAAAACAGATCACTTTTACGGAACTTTGCAGGACCCTGTGTAAGCACATACCGGAAGTATGGTAGGACTACAGCAACTTCCAAACGGGGCCACGCCATAGATCAAGCGGTTAGTCGCTGGCTTCCCACCGCGGCGGCCCGGGTTGGAACCCGGGGACTAGTCAAGTGGGATTTGTGGTGGACAAAGTGGCGCTGGGGCAGGTTTTCTCCGAGTACTTCGGTTTCCCCTGCCAATGTTCATTCCACCAATTGCTCCACGATCACCCTCACCTATCATCTGGGGCTGGTACAATAGGCCAGAAGTGGCCGCAGTACAAGGGACTTAGTTCCACCCCACTAGCAATAAAAAAAAACTTCCAAACGATGACGTAATAGTCTGTGTCGCTAACCGAGGATGCTGTACCCTCGTTCACAAAGTAGATGGAGTATATGTACTGCTGCAGCAACGTGGAGAGCACTGCTCCATTTTCTACGCCAGTAAGATGCGGAAACGTCATGGCCATTCATCGATTTATGTTCCCATGTACTCCGTTGACATTTCGAATGGAGTAGCGATGATAACAATGTTGCTCACGTTTCAAAACGGGTCTCTAGCCATATATTCTGCTTCAGTGCCCGATGGTTGGCAAATCTGAATGACTATGCTCCAGGTAAATTTTGCAGCCATTCATCGGAATTTATCACAAAAAGAATTGCTGATTATGCAACGTAATTTTGTCCTCTCCTTCTTTCTAGTTACAGGATCGACTTGTCTTCGACTCTGAAGATGGAAGCAATACGTTACACTGAATCATCATTTTACCTACTACTTCTTTGTGGGTACATGCTTGGCTAACTCTTCGACTATGATGATGGAGGCAGTGATTTCCTGCGAAACGTCATTTTGCCTGTTGCTTCTGTCTGGCTGCATGCTTGTTTTTACTACTGGACTACGGAGTTGCAGACAGCATGTACCTTCAAAATGTCGGTAACTACCAGACTACACGACATCAGAACCTGAAATATATTACTCTCCGTTACCCTGGACAGTTATTTTCGACACTCACATAAGAACCTGCTGGGATGTAACGCGCTGTAGTCCTGTGGAAATTAGCCGATATTTCGGAGAAATGTACTGCTTCCATCTTCAGGGTCGAAGAGTTAGCCAAGCATGAAACCAGATAGGAACAGTAGGAAAGAAGACGTTTCGTAAGTACGTACTGCCCCAATCTTTAGGGTCGAAAGGTAAACCTGGCACCATACACGAAGTATAGGTCTGCTTGCTCCCCGTTTGGCTTACCCCCCATATCCTGAAAGCTGAAGCAGTACTTTCCCTTGAAACTTCGGTGAAGCCACATGCCAGAAGATAGTACACTTTATTATTACTGTATTTCGGTGCCGTCCATTACACATTTACTTCTTAATTGTTGTATCTTTGGTCCGATTGACGTCACAGGTCGATATTAGCAAAAATCTCGCCAATGTTTTCTACGAAATTGGAATATGACGCCGAGCAGTCTGGTTATGAGTACCAACGTTTCAGAGAAAACCGTTGCTTCAATCTTCTACCCTGAATAAGGAGAAAGCATGTTCCTTCGAAACACTGGTACCCACAGAGAACTCTTCACACCGGCGTAAGAACCCCAAATTTCATATGCATTGAAGAGTCCTGCTATATTTTGGGATATACCGCCGTTTAATCCGTCGAAAGGCATATCGCCTCCTTCTTCAGGGCGGAAGAGTAAGCCTGCCATCTGTTTTCATGCTGGTATCTTGCTTGGCTTATTCGACCCTGAAGATGGAGGTGATATACGTGTTCCTCCGAAACATCAGCTGACTTTGAACAGACTACACGGCACTATACCCATTCGACTTGCCACCTGCTTTCACGCTGGTATCTTGCTCGGTTTATTCAACCTTGAAGATGGAAGCGATATGTTCCTCCGAAACGTCGGTTGACTTCAATGTACTTCACGGGGTTATATCCACTCGTCTTGCCGCCTGCTTTCACGCTGGTATATTTCTCGGGTTATTCTACCCTGAATATGGAAGCGATGTATTCTTCCGAAACGTCGGTTGACTTTCAAAGGACTACACCGCTCGGCTTGCCACCTGTTTTCACGCCGGTATCTTGCTCGGATTATTCGACTCTGAAGATGGAGACGATATATTCCTCCGAAACGCCGGCTGACTTTCAACGGACTACACGGCGTTATACTCTTTTCCCAGACGGTGGTAATACTCTTCATAACCACCGGTGTGAGAACCTCAAATTAGTGGCTGCGGGCCCCTGTGACTGCGGACACAGAACCAGTTTACAGCACGTGTTACGCAGCAGGCCCGAACACTAAACATGCAATTTGCAGCAACAGACACGCAGCGGCCGGTAGCGCCTATCCGTCCAGACACAGCGATCACCACTGCTTAACTGTTTATTGTTATCCTTAATGTGTAGCATAGTGTGCCCCTGCAGGGGCGCGTCTTCCTGCCCCAAGGGGGGCTTCGTTTCGTCCCGAGGGCTGCCCATGTAACCGTCCAATGGTTCCACCCCCACGTTCTGTGCGACAGGGAACATGTGCATATGAACGCAGGCGATAAAGGGGAATTGCATTTTTCTAATTTCTATTGTAATTTTATTCAGTTTAATTGTGGATATTATACATCCCGTATGCATTAATAACCTGAAAAATAACAAGAAGTTCTGGGAAGAACCAATCGCCCACTTTACTTCGATACAAGGACTGCACAGAAAACGAAAAAATGAACGGATACACAAACACACAAGGTGATCTCATAAGCCTTCTTTTATTTCTTTTCAAAATGAGGAAAATACATTGATAAAAACTGGACACAGAACCATTTAGAGCTAAAGCGAATATGAATCAACCCTGAAAATGGAATCAGAACTTCCGTACCTACAAAACTACATCAGTCACTACAATCAGAGATGTCTGAGCTTATTGTTTTCTTGTGGGTTTGTTTAGCGGTGCTGTCACTACACACACTGCAGAGCAGCAAACAGTAGGATGGTTCATGACTGATGAACTGGAAAGGATCAGGAAGGAAGTGATTGTGACACATTCGAGGTATCATGCCGACACTTGCCTGGAGGTACTGAGGAAAAGATAGTGGGTGGCTCGGCAGATCTTCGAACCGAACACCTCGCCAATACGAGTCTAGAAGGTTACCGAAGTGGTACCCACATGGTTTGAGCTTAAAAAAGAGCAACCAAAATTACCTGTCCCGGAGCCGAGATATGAACCCTAGAACTTCCTCACACACTCGACCGAGACGTTGGGTACCATACTTCCGGTATAAGTAATCTGTAACAAACTAATTAATTAATTAATTCATTATCTCCATCCATCAAGGTCCTTCTCAAAGACGTACGAGTAACTCTTGGTCCGATAGCCAAGAAATTCGAAGCATGAACTCCAAGGTTCATTACTGTGTTCACAACAGCTCGCCACTGGTGTCTTTCCTAGGCCAGATGAATTAAGCTGACAGTGCTCTTTAACTTTCACCTTAATATGATTCTCCTATCTAGCCCTAGGTCTTCCAAATGACCTTCTTTCGTCTTATCCCATCAGAACTTCGCAAGCATTTGTCTTCTGGTATGAAAATATATAAACTGGGACAGTCGCACAGCAACTAATAGAAAAGAAACAAAACAGACACTGCTGCGTCAACATTTGCTTTTATTTGTTGTCAGTGGTATCGCTTCACGTTTCGATCCCTTTCTTGGGTCATCTTCAGGCTTACACGGATACTATTTCGCTTCTGAATTGCGTCATTAATCAATATGAATTCATGTTGTGTCTGTATGATTATTCTATACTGACAGTTACTTAATTTTAAATTGTGGTTCAAATATAGTTGATATTAAATGGATAAAAATTAAAATTATAATTAAAATGGCTAGCCTTGTGCCTGCTGCATATCGTATGTGTGTTTTTTGTTGTTCCACTATGGTACTGATATTGTGCTGTGGGTTAACTGTTTGCTGGGATATTTCTTCAGAACATAGGGCTGCTATGTGTGCTACATGCTCCGTCCATCGCATCTTATTTGATATGATAGCCATAAAAATATTTAGCGAGGAGTACAATTTATGAAGCTCCTCATTATGTAATTCTCTCCAGCCTCCTCTCACTGCGTCCCTTTCTGCATTCCTAATAAGTCCTGCAGAAATGTTGTGTGATGGTCTGTTGAAGTGCGGATAGCGTGACTATTCCGAGTACGTGTGTAGTGCGCCTTCAGTCTAGATGCTAACAAGTCAAACCGCACTACACGATCAGGGGTTTCAGCAGCACGGTGATGGTATTTAATCCCTTAAAACACAGTGCTGCTTTAACATAATAAAACTCTGCATTCTGCCCACAGAGTGTATTTGTGTGTTCCGTATGATTCTCACAATAAACACCGATTATTTCCCTAAAGAGCATTAACCGGTTGGGCTTTGTAGCGGAGACGTAATGTGTTTCCTGTGAGGTACGGACTGAACTCTGCATTCTGTCCACACAGTGTATTTGTGTGTTCCGTATGGTTCTCACAACAAACAGCGATTATTTCCCTAAACAGCATTAACCGGCTGGGCTTTGTAGCGGAGACGTAATGTGTTTCTTGTGAGGTCCGGACTGAAAGCTTTATACTATATTGTGGCATATTTGCTCAAGGCAAAATTAACCCGTTTGGAGACGGTGTCGAATGCCTCTACCGTAGCCCTGCGAGTCGTAGGAAGCGACGAAAATGGAACCCAGTGCCTGGGGGTATAAGTAGGCCACCCTGTTCCTGGGAGATATAAATCCGGGGACCTGGCCCTCCAGGTTTGGGGAGTCTCGAATCTGAGAAAGTAATATGTGGTCGTGAGTCCCGCGGGACTCGGACCTGAGAATGGCTGCGCTGGCAAGGACCAGCAGCAGTTGTAAACGACAAAGCCATCCTCTCGTGAGACCGGAAGTGTTAATTAAAAAATACTGGTCTTTCGTCTCAAGGGGTTGTCGCTAAGACGAACTGATTGGTGGTAAACCGCCAATCGCAGAGTAATCCTGACTCTGACTCAAGGCAGAATTGTGAAGCCAGCAGAGAAAACCGTTGCTAGGCAATAGCTCAGTAACGATTACGTGGTCACCCCAACAGACACGAAAGCAACAATGGAGTAGCTGTGAGAAGCGGTGTTAGAGAACTGCTTCGGTCCAGTCGTTGTGAACTGTTGCCGTTAGAAGTTGGTAGAGGGTGGGGCAGCTCGGGAAACCCAGAGAAAGGGGAACGTCCGCCGTTGCAAGCCACTGCCAAGCAACGGCTAGTGAAGACGTGACTCTGGACACTAGTGTGTGTGTAACAGTGAATTGTAAGGTGTATTCACGTGCTGTATTAAAGTGTTCAATAAATCCGATCATCAATCCAAAACCCGTCAATAGCCACATATCATTTCGATGACTTGAAGCTTCTAAGGTTTATTTCTGGAAACGCAGACTCCTTCATCCAAGACCAGAAACAGCCCACTCACTTTCATTTATCTTGCTTCTGTGGCAGAATCCGGTTTCTGAAGCTGAGACAATATTACATTGCACCATCCATATTCCAAGTAATGTCACCACAAGAGGACGGCCATGCTGATGCGTGGTCTGTATTTACTTACTGTTTACATAGCGTCACATTAATGCAGCAAGGATCTAAGGAGCACGCTGACATCCTTTAATTTCCCTCAATTCATGATCTGTTGTTCTGTGCGAAATCTGAGGATATCACGGCAATAACTATAAGAGATTGTTGTCTCCTAGGATTAACGCCGTATATTCTGGTTCACCGTTACCTTTCACTGCATAACGAACAGATTCATAATTAGCATACTTCGTTTAATATTATTGTTAGAATGAAGAAAGGAACGCGGATGAAATAAGCCTGGGAAGTGGCAAGTATGGAAGATATCACAAATGAATACGAAAGTTTTGGTGTGAAAAATATTGTGGCATATTTTAGAAGCAGCCATTGCTAGGTAACGGCTGTATAACGCAACAATGGAAAATTGTTGGAAGCTGCGTTTTCTGTGTTGCCGTGTTGAGGCTATTTAACGAGGACCACCTGTGTTACATAAGGATTCCTCCGTATGGAGGCGGAGTCGAATACCTCCACCGTAGCCCTGCGAGACGTAGGAGGCGAAGAAAAGGGAACCCAGTGCCGGGGGATATAACTGGGTCACCCTGTTCGTAGGGGATATAAATACGGAGACCTGGCCCTCCAGGTTGGGGGAGTCTCGAGTCTGAGACAGTAAAACATGGTCACGAGTCCCAAGGGATTCAGACCCGAGAAAGTCTGCACTAGCAAGGTCCAGCAGCATATACAAAAGGCAGACCCGTCCTCTCGTCAGAGAGGGCACCCCACAAAAACAAGACCGTAAATGCGAAACGTAATAAATATCCGGTCATGAGTCCCACATGGGGCTCGACACCAAGACTTACAGACCGACTGACCGTCAGTCGCAATGTGACTTGGACTAGGACATAAGGATTATGACAGCAAGGGTTCAGTTGACAAAAATTTTCTGGTTGTGAGTCTCAAGCGACTTGACGCCAAGACGAACTAATTGGCGGTAAACTGCCAGTAGCAAAGCAGCTTTGACTTTGACTTATGGGAGAGTTCCTCGCGTGGATGTTGGTTGGAAATCCTCCTCCGTAGTCATGCGAATCATAGGAGGCGACGGAAAGGGAACTCAGTTCCTGAAGGTGTAACTGGGCCACCCTGTTCCTGGAGGATACAAATAGGGAGACCTAGCCCTCCAGGTTGGTCTTGAATCTGAGAGAGTAAAATACGGTCATGAGTCCCGCGGGACTCGGACTCGAGAGTTACTGCACTGGCGAGGACCAGCAGCAATTGTAAACGACAGACCCGTCCTCTTGTCAGAGAGGGTGCCCCACATCAACATACCTGCAACTGTCTGACAGTAATAAAAATCTGGTCTTGGTCCCAAGATGGGCGCTTGACACCAAGACAGGTTGGCCGACTGGCCGTCGGTCGTAACATATCTCTGACTCTGACTCTAACTTGCGAGAGAGTCTTGAGACGGCAGTTAGAAGAGTAGGAGGTTGGTGTGAGATGGCCGCCAGCCTGCGAGGACGTGGTCCCGGGAGCAGAGGAACGTCCACTGTTGGAAGCCGTTACCAAGCAGCGCGGTGAAAGCCGTGACTCCGAATACTAGTCTGTGTGACAGTGATCAGTAAAGTGCAGTCACGAGTCACGGCGAGGCTCCGCCTCTCTCATTGCACCTGCCGTGCTTGAGACTGAAGCTGTCGGCGTGCTTAACTAAGTACTTATGAGGAAGGGAGGTGTAGCTCCACGTATGGAGGTGCGTGGTTGTCTTCAGGACCCCATCTGCTTTAACCTGAGGATAAAGAGACCGGGTACCCACAGGACAGAAAGTTGAGTGGGCTCCAGAGAAAGTTTTGATGCTGTGAAGTTAAAAAAAAATCTTGCCCCTGCAGGGAATCTAGCCTCAGTTCTAGTCACTATGCCCTCTGAGCTATCCAGGTTCCGTTATATTGGGTATTTTACGGCGTTTTCAGTATCTAGACTACATAACGTTGAACACTGGGCCGACAGACGAAAATGAATTGGAAAGGATTCGGTAGGATTAGGTCGTGGCCTAATGAATATATTCTGACGTAATAGCGTGACTATAGACGGGAGTTGGAGTGGTGAATGGATTTACTGACGACTTATACACGCCACTCGGAACTACAACCAATTGCAGCGCCACCGTTAGTCTCCACAATTTACATAGCACCCACTAAGCCCTTTTCAGCCTCCTGTGTCTCCACCAGACGTTCCCTGGCATCGGCTCCTAACAGTGAAGATCCTTCAGCTTCACGCGCTCAAGTCCTCTCTTCACAGCCTCCGGTGCAGAACTCACTCTCAACTGACTTTGTCGCTTGTTTATAACATCTCGGCATCGGTACGGACCAAGTAAAAACACCCCCTTTCCATTGTTGTAGTCCAACTGTTGCATTAATACGAATTTGCTGCCTAGCAACGGGAACGTGTTTACCAAGCCGTTGCCCAGAAATAGCCGCTGTTTGCAGAGTCACTGCTTAGTTAGTTAGTTATTAGAGAGGGTGGGTTTCCCCATGGACTGAGACCTGTATTGGTCCATTGTGCTTCCCTCTATGATTTCTACCAGTCACTATATCCTACCGGTACTGGTGCTTACCATCAGTCCCGCCCAGCCAGCGAGACCGGCTCTACTAGCTGAGAGGTATCTATAATGCTTCCCCCATCTACCAGAGGTATTAGAGACTGCTGTTGGGCGGGAAACGTCCGTTAATTT